CAGCCTCCCGAGTGCTGGGATTACAGGCATGTGCCACCATGCCCGGTGACAGCATCATAGATTTGTGAAAGTTCTCTTGTTGGACACTGGGGGAGATTCAATTTGTATCATAAATCACTCAGCGTTTTGTTCTCAAGCTGTCAAATGTCCATAAACCCAGAGCCATGAGTAATTTCTCTTCCTGAAATTCTTATCATTTACAGTAAAAGATGACCATGTTTGTTTATATGTCATCAGTAAATCCATAAATGATTTTTCAGGAAATGCTGGATTTCTAATGTAAATACGTGCTTTTTACATCTCGCTCCTGCACCCCACCCCACCGGGGAGCCCTTTGGGCCAGCGTATCGCAACTCACGTGCACTGCAGTGCCAGGCCCTACAGAGACCGGGGCTACCGGTGTGAACCTCATTCGGGAGTTCCAGAAGTACCTCAGCGCACAGGGCGCACTGGGTCACTAGCAGGGTCCCACTCACCGTGTGTGTGCTAGTTCTCAGGCATTTATCAAAACAGCACCAGGCCCTGTTCTGGAGAACAGGGGCTCAGGCCCTTGGGGAGCTCGGAAATCTCAGAGGCGCTGAGAGAAGCGCACACTGGGCCTTTCCCCGCGCCCCTTCCTACCTTCTGTTCCAAGCCCTTTGCCGCTCAGAAAGGAAACATCTGGCCTCCCTGCCTTTCTCTGGGTATTTCTGAGGGAATAATTAACGTACTAACGTACATGTTCCCACCTTTGCCCTTGTAACTGGTGTCATAAAGGGCTAATGAACCCACCCCAAATACAAGTTTACCGGCTTTACTTCCTGGTGCAGGCCGAGGCCTGCAGATGGGCTGGAAGGGCCGCTCACCCCAACCGAGGCCAGAGCGCTGGGCTCTGCCGCGGACTTAAGTTCAGCCTGGGATTTTTCAGTATAAAATTTCGTCCTTATGAATAGCAGTTTAAAGAGTTTCGTTGTATTTTCCCAGGCAACCTGGTTGAAACACTAAAGAAAGAAACATTTTGGGTTTGGTTTTGTTTGTTTGGGTGGTTTTGCTTGAGACAAGGTATGTGTAGTCCAGGCTGGCCTTGATCTTCCCGCGATCCTCCTGCCTCAGGTAACGCGCTGAGATTACAGGCGTGCGCCATCCCCGCCCTAGCTAAACTTTATTTTTATGAAAATAAAATTATATAAATCTTTGACCATTTTGTGATCTAGTACCGTGAATAAATTCCTTTCTTGGCGCAAAGGCACGGGGCGGGGGGGGGGGAGTAGGGCGGGGGCATTATTCGTACAATTTTAGAGGAGAAGGGGCCTGGGAGACGGCTGGCAGAGGAGCAGCAAACAGGCTGCCCCAGCCTCAGCTCCGCGGGAAGCAAGCTTCGCAGCCAGAGGCGCGGGGTGTCCCCACTACCCACGTACCAAACGCGAGCGACGAGAGCGCGCCGGGCCTCCTCTGGCCCGCAGCCGGCTCCGCAGTCCGTTCCGAGGCGGGTGGGTGGCGCCGCAGGAGGCCGCTCTCCCCCCCGACCCCCGCGCCCCCGCCTCGCCCCGAATCCTGGAAGCCAGGACCGGCGGAAAGGGCCGGGAAGGCTACTCTGGCAGCCCCGCGTCCCGGCCGTGCCCCGGGCCACGCATTCCTCCCTCCTGCCAGCACGGCGGCGGGGCCCGGCTGGGCAGGCTGGTGCAGACCGTGCTGAGTCACCGCGAAGCCTCCCTGACTCAGCCTGGCAGTCCCTGCCCCGAGGACAGCGAGGAGCAGGAAGCTGGGGCCGCGCCCGCGCCCGCGCCACGCAGCACAACCCGGAGCAGCGATTTCCCACTCCCCGCAGAACCAGGCAGCTGCCCGGCGCGTCCCACCCATGCCAGGGCTGCAAGGCTGATCGCTCTTGCTTGCTTTTCTTACCTTCTTTCTGATCCCTTTAGCCGCCCCCCCCCCCCCCCCCCCC